ATCATGTCATTAAGGTTGACTCTATTTGGGAGGCAGTGATATTTTGAGTGCCTTCCAACTTGAGAGGCTCATCTTTGGGCACTATATCAATGTTTCATAGCTATTCATAAAATTTTCCATTAATATATCAGACAGTGATTCACTATGATTCATAAGGTTTTCAGTGCCCAATTTTGTCAGACGTGGATGGCCTCATCCTTTTTCCCCATCTGTCTTCATCTGGAAGCTCTGCTGAAACCTGTCCACCATTGGTGACCCTACTGGTATTTGAAATACCAATGGAATAACCTCTAACCTCACAGCAACATGCAAGCCACCACAGTAAGACAAACTGAGAGATAACTAGTGTAATAAGCACAATTTCTTTAAAAAAGAATAACAAAGGCCATAAGGAAAACTAAAAAGTGGGAAAGGCTATGTTATTTTTGGGTAGAAACACTCAGTGTGTAAAAAATGGCAATCTTCTCTAAATTAATGCAATCTCAATCAAAAACTACTAATCGATGTCAATTATACAAGCCAAGGATAAATTCACATAAAACTAAACACTTCATTGACTCTAGAAAAACTGTGAAAACTCAAAATTTATCAGAGAAGGTCAGTCCCACCACATGTTAAAATATTACATTATTATAAAGCTAAAGCTCTAGTTTAAGTCAGCACTGCACTACTCTGACACACAGGTGGTTGCCATAAGTTGAAACCAACAATTACATTTTTCAGTTTGCTTTCAGTGTGCGAATACTAAAAGAGATTAAAGAAACTGTGTTAGTGAGCATAAAAACAGGCAAAATGTATATAGGAATTTGGTATATGATAAAAAATGAAATCAGTGGATAAAAGGCTAGATAGAGATAAGGAGCTCTGATGTAATAGTGGATAAGGCATTTGGCTGCTAATCAAAAGGTCAACGGTTCAAACCCACCAGCCGCTCTGCAGAAGATGGGGTGATCTACTTCCGTAGATTTACAGCCGTGGAAACCCATGGGAATCGCTATGAGTTAGAAATGACTCAATGGCAGTGAATTTATTCAAATATGGCATTGGAGTTCTGCAATAGCAATTTGAAAAATTATTAATAGATTTCCTTATCTGATTCCAGTTAATTAAAAAAAAACCTCAACATGGATGTCAAGTTTAAGCACTCAAAAGATTAAACTGCCAAAATACTACAAGAAAACCTGGAGACATTAAGAAATATGTATTTATACATGTAAGAGTGTTTTTAGATGGCTTTTTTATAGTCAACACAATATCCAAACATAATAAATGAGAATTATGAATCTAACAATATAAAAATTAGTAATTTTGTTTGGAAAGAGTATCATAAACAGGCAAAAAATAAATGGGCCATCAGGGACTGGGGGAGGGAGAACAAGGAGCTATTGCTTAAGGGGTACAAAGTTCATGATTGACGTGACGAAAATCTGTTGGAAACTAACAGTGGTGGTGATGGTTGCACTATTTGGTGAATATAACTAATGTCACACTAGTATATACTTCAAAATAACGATAATGTCAATTTTTTTTAATATATGTTTTACCACTATAAAATTTCTCAAAAATGGGGGGAAGGGGAAAGAAAAGCTTATATCCCATTCTGTTTTGTTTGTTTGTTTGTTTGTTTAAAAAAAAAAAAGACATTTGGGACTTCCGGAAAGATGGAGGAATAGGCAGACAAGTGACACAGACCCTCTTCAACAAAAAAAAGAAAAACCAATTGACAGAGATACAGAAGATAATCTTGGAGCCCTGAGCTTTGAAAGGAACTATACAGAAGTGGATTAGGCACCAACTAGTGGAAAAATCTGAACAAAAACAGTGAGTACAGAGATGGTTGGAGCTGCGGACTGTCAGCTACTCTGACGAGACCAACAGCCTGAATATTTCCAAGTGGTGCTGGGACCCAAGAATTGACCTAAAGATTAGTACCAGTCACCAAGGGCTGCAGGGACAACCGCTCTGATGGCCTATGACTAGGAAGGGAAACAGCAAGGAGGGAGACAACCTGAGCTGTGGACTTTCTGCTGTCCGGAGGGTGTGGCCATTTTGATTGTTTACATGTGGCAGACATTTTGGATATTTAAAGTGACCGAGGGTGAAGCCATTTTGAATGTTTACAAGCAGTGGCCATTTTGGATATTTAGAGTGACCGAGGGCGCAGCCATTTTGAATGTTTACAAGAGGCAACCATTTTCGATTTTAAAGTGATAGCATTCTCATTCGGATTCCAGGGACCTAAGAACAGGCTCTGTTTGCCAGAGTTGGCAAGGACATACGAGAGGCTGACATAGGAAAGGAGACAGGTGGTGAGTGTGTAAGTGCTGTCAACTAGTGAATAGAGGAGCACAGTACCATCCTTGCATAGATAACATACAAAGAAAACAAAAATTGTGGGCAAGTCAGTCCAACATATAATCACCAATTAAATATAAACACAAAAACGTCACAATGCCTCGGAGACAACAGAGCATCACAGTCCACACAAAGAAGCAAGATAAAGCAGGAAAAACAAGGGACCAGGA